GTTGTCTGTCTCTAAGTGTAGCCCTGTGATAGACTGGTGACCTGTCCAGCGTGTCCCCTGCCTTCACCCTAAGTCAGCTGGGATAGACTCCAGCCCCCCATGACCCTAGTGAGGATTAAGCGGTGGATGAATGGCTGAATAAATTGTATAAAACGTTTAAAAGAAATTCAAAAAATGTAAATAGAATGCCCCAAAATATATATATCTGTCATGTCCCTGCAGCCTCAGCCCCTGCCCTGCCCTCTGTCTGGCGTCCTAGCATGCAGGCAGGGGTGCCTGGTTATCAATCTGCTGATTGGTAGGTGGGGATTGGTCCGCTCCAGCTGCGACCTCCGGTCTGCTGGTATTTCAGCTCCGGCCAGACAATGCTCCAGCGCCATGCCGTCGAACCATTCACCGGTTCTGCCACCATCACCATTCCACTCCTGCCACTGAAACCGGATTCTCCTCCACCAACCCGTCACCTGTCCGCTCTCGTCAGCTTGTCAGTCCTGACGCCACCCCACCACAATGGCTCCGTCTGTTCACCGGCACCAGCTCCGCTCACCTTTCCCTCCCTGGATTCCCAGGCGTCCGCTCTTGGTCTCCGCCTGCCTCTCCACCGCAGCCGCGGTTACGCCGATCCCTCTTCCCTACCTTACCCTCCTCCCTGCTTCCCCTCTCTACTCAGTCGGCTCCTGTCAGGTCTGGTTCTCTCAGTGTTTGCTAGCATCATAAACTTAGCATCCTTATTTAGCGTCGGTGCTCTGCCCGTCTGTATGTAGCACTAGCTTTTGAGACATCTTTAGTCTGCCTGTCTGTATGTTGTGTATATCCTAGCTCTGCATTTAGTCCGCCTGTCTGTGCGTAGCGCTAGCTCAGTGGATAGCTTTTTGTCTGCTAGCCTTTTCTGTTGAGTCTTGATTATTGAGCTTCCTCGTTAGCACCTTCTGGTGTCCTCCTTTAGTTTGTTCCTTTGTTTAGTTTAGTCAAAGTTTTGGTTTCTCGGTTCCCGACTCGGTGATACCGAACTCGGGTCCGTGTCTTTAGTTCTTTTGTTCAGCCAACCACTAATGGGTGTAGTTTGCCCTGCCTGCAAACCTTCTTGAATTTTGTACTAATTTCCTGTGTGTACAATAAATCTTTTATTGTTTGAACCTGCCTGTCTGCCGTGTTATGTTGCCTCGCACTTGAGTCTTCGAACCGTCCCGTAACAATATCCCCAAAATATTATTGAAAATGTTAAGACCCAAAACAAAAATGTGAATGAAATGTTTAGAAATATCCAAAAATGGATATGAAGTGCTGAAAATGTTGAAAAAAGGCAAAGAATATAATTTAATGTCCAAAAATATTAACAAAACGCCCCCAAAAAAAAGAATGCTAAAAAACCCACTGAATAAGATCAAAATGAATTGTCCAAAAAAGATCAATAATATATTTATGAAATCCCCAAAATATTTCTGACAATGCAAAAAAAATCTCCAATCTGAATAAAATGTTCAAATCTCTTATACAAATATCAAACATACCAGTGAAATGTCTAAAAATATAAATGATTTTCTTTTTTTTAAATGCTACCAAATTTGACCCCTCCCCTTCCCCCAAAAAATAAATATATATCCAAGAATAATAAAAAGAGCCAAAATTAGAATTAAATGTTTAGAATTAGCAACAAAATGTCTTAAAATATTTAGAAAATGCTCAAATTTGTTTTTAAAAGAATAAATGGAATATGAATAAAATGTTGCACAGGATGAATGTGTGTGTCTGTGTGGTGAAGCGTGTCCGTGTTTGTCTCACCATGATGCCGGCGTTGCTGAAGGCCTCGCTGATGCCCTGCAGGTAATCTGGCAGCAGGTCCAGCAGGCAGGTGGCAAAGAAAACACCTCCAGCAAAGCAGCTGATCAGACTGAGCAGCTGCCGACGCACATCTGCAACCCAAGAACATGAACCGCTGCTTTATTCTACAGACAGCTGAACATCTGGGCTGTTTGCCGACACATTTTCACTGTGGACTCATTTTTCTCTGCAACATAAAGTCCTGCAGCTCTGTGGAAACAACACAACCACGAACAGAAGGAGAGAACTCACACATCTGTGCAGTTAGAATGACAGAAATCAGAAAAAGACTGGATTCAACAGGTCCAACATTTGTCCAGGTGTCCACAAATGTTACCAACACTGGAAAAAAAAGGAGACTCCACAGAGTATAGATATTTACCTATTTCTGTTTTAAAGCCTCTGAGGTTAATTGGTGATTCAACTATGTCTATTTGCTTTGTCTTGTTTTTTTCATTTGGTGTCTTATCTTCGTTGTTTTATGTCTCTTAGTGGTCATTTTTGTCTCATCTTTGTTATTTTGTATCTTGTTTTTCTTGTTTTTGTCATTTTGTGGTTTTTTTTTTGTTGTTTTTTTTTTAAAGCCCTTTGGGTCAGTTTAGTGCGTTCCTGGGAATTTTGTGTCTCATTTTTGTGGGTCTCTTTGAGACTGTTTTGTCTGTCTGTGGTCAGCTAGTCTCCTCTTTCTCCCTTTTTTTAAATCTCCCTTTTGTCACTTTGTGTCTTGATTTTCTTGTTTTGTGTCTTACGTAGACCCTCTTAAACGTCTTTGATACTATTTTGTCTCATCATGTTTATTTTGCCTCCACATACTAGACAGATATTAGATATTTTGCTATTCATATTTTTACAGCGTCTACAAACCTTTAAATTCCACTCTGCACATCAACTGTAGGAAGATGTTTCACAATGCTGAATGTATCTTCCAACTACTTGCTCCTCTGTTTACTGTTTTTGAGCCATGCTGTATTTATTTTATTGATCCAGTCTGTTTTAACCTTCCTCTCAGTCTCTCTGCCTGCAGTTCACCCAAAAACTCTCTGAAGTTTTCACAGCTGAGTCAGTCATGGAGAATGAGTAAAGAAACAAAATGATTTTACAGCTGCTTTTAGTTGTAAAGCAGATGTTAAGCTGCACACAGCTGAAGGCGAAGGTGTGACTCTTTTACTGCTGCAACTCCTTCTGTCACCTCAGCAATGTTGTGTATCTCGTGACTGAGGACGTGTGTAATAAGATGTTAATAACAATTAGAATGCAATGTCCAAAAATATGCACTGAGCACAAGGAATGTTAAAAATATAGTTGTATTATATAATTATAATATATAATATAATTACTCCAAATATTAATGAAAATATGTGACAAAAGGCAAAATAATAAAATAAAATAAATAAATGTTAAAAATAGTAACAAAAATGACAAGAAAATGTTTACAATATTTTAAATGTATGAAAACATCAATAGAATGCCTACAATTTATTAATTATTTAAAAAACTGCTCAAAAATATTAAAGACATTAATGAAATGCTTCAAAATACGGTAAAAAAAATAAACATCTGAACAAAAATGTTTAAAGACTAGATTAAAATGTAAAACAAATATGCATCATAATATTATGAAACAGATTTTAAAATATCCGAAAATATGAATATGCTCACAAATACAAGCAAAATTTAAGCAATATATATTGATAAAATATTAGGAAAAAAAAACATAAATAAAATGCAACAAAATGTTACTGACAAATGTGAAATTCATATGAATGAAAATATGAAGAAATTTTCCAAAATCTAAATAACAAAATGTTTAAAATATCTTAAAATGTATTAAAATGGTAATAGATTGCCTGTAATGCTAATAAAGACCTAAATATTACTAAATGTTCAAATAAATAAATAAATAAATAAACAAAATTACAAGAATGTCAAGAAGTATTAATACGTCTAAAAATATTTTTAAAAAACATTAGAAAAGCTTCAAAACATGATTAAAAAATCAAATTTGAACAGAATGTTAAAGACTCGACTAAAATGAAAACTAAAATGAGTCACAATATTTATGAAATTCCTTAATGTAATGATAAAAATGAAGAGGAATTCAAAAAATTCCTCAAATATCAAACATATCCAAAAATATCAATATAGTCACAAATACTAACAAATGTAAAAAAAAAAAAAAAAGAAAGAAAAAAAAAAGAAAAAAGAATAAATATAAATAAAGTGTTGAAAAATATTAAGGAAAAATACTGTGAATAAAAAATTGAGACTTGTTCAAATATATAAACATAAACATCTACATTTGATCACGTAAAGCTGCACGGAGCTGATGATGTGTGTATTTTATTGCTTTCCTTCTTTTTTTTACTGCTTTCCTTCTTTCTATTGCTTCAGCAGCATTGTGTGTCTGTCACATGTCACTGAGGGCAAATGTGTGTTACTTTGAGTGAACTCGTCCGCTGTGTGAAGCCTCGGTACCTGGATCCACGCTGCAGCGTCCAGCGCCGCGGACGATGCACAGCGGAGCGAAGCCGAACAGCAGCGTGACGGACAGCAGCACGGCCAGAGCGCCCAGCTTGATCTCCAGAGCGGGGACGTCGGCCGGTTTGACCTGCAGCGCCGTCGCCGCCCCCCCAGGAGGACGCAGGACGGAGTCAGCGGACATCTTTACCGTGTGACAGCAGGCCGACCATAGAGTCCCTCAGAGGACCAGGAGTCTGTCGGGAGAGAAGAAGGACGCAGCTGGAAACATCTGGAATCAGCTTTGAGCTTGGCGGCGTCGCAGCTCGCTGCACTTCATGGTCCTCTGAACTCAAGAAAACCACCGTGACTTTAACTTTCTGATCCCCGAAAACTCCCCAAAAAGGCCTTCAAAACCCCCAGAATGACTCATTTACCAGGCAGAAACTGTAAAAGCAGAACAAACCATCACTGAACTACACGTGTGTTGTTCTGTTTCTACACTGAACCAAATCTCAGCTCCTTGTGGATCTCTTTGTGTCTCTTTTCCATTGTTCCACCTCTCCATCATGGTCTCTCTGGTGTTCGTGTTTTACTTTTTTGTTGTTGTTGTTTGTTTGTTTCTGCTGTTTTTTTAACGGTCCACTTGAGTTCATAGCGCAGCCAACAGAGATGCCTCAGACGCACACGGAGCTGTAAATCATGTGACTGAGTCTGATAGCAGAGACAGACGCTGCAGATAAGAACTGCAAACACACACGAAAAGCTGAAACCCTGAGTGTGGTTGGAGGTATTTACAGAGTCATAAAGACCAGAAAGTGAAGAACGGAAATGTCAGTGAAACAAAAACCAAAGTTAAACAAGCTGAAAGCGTTTTGGTTGGAGTTACAGAGAGACTCATTCAGCGCTTTTATTAGTGTAAAGTTAGTTTAAACGATTTAAAGCTGAAGCCGTTAGCTAAAAGCGACAGTTAGCAGAAGGCTAAAGTGCTAGCAGCATTCAACATGGCCGCTTGGGGTCATTTTGTGGCTCTTTCTGGTTTTGTGTCTCTTTGTTGTCATGTTGTGTTTCTTACTGGTCAATTTGTGTCTCTTTGTTGTCATGTTGTGTTTCTTACTGGTCAATTTGTGTCTCTTTGTTGTCATGTTGTGGTTCTTTGCAGTCAGTTTGTCTCTTTGGTTGTTTAGTGTCACTTTGTTGCTGTTTTTTGTCTCTTTGTGGTCATTTTGTGTCTTTTTTTGGTCAACTTGTATCATTTGTAATAGTTTTTGGTCTCTTAATGGTTATATTGAGTGTCTTTGTTATCATGTAGTGGTTTTTTGTTGTCATTGTGTGTCTTTGTGGTTGTATTTTGTCTCACTGAGGTTGAATTGTGTGTCTTTGTGGTTGTATTGTGTCTCTTTGTGTTCAGTTTGTGTCTCTTTGTGGTCATATTGAGGTGTCTTTGCTGTCATGTCATGTTTCTTTAAATGACAACTTTGTCTTAAATAGCTCACAATGTGTTCAGAGTGACTCAAGATTTGTCTAGATTGACAAAACATCATTCAAAATGACCTAAAATGGTCTCAAAGGACGGCATTTGTCTAAAATGGCTGGAAAATCATCCTCAAAGCTACCATAGAGCTGTTTTTCGTTGTTTTTCTGTTTTTTTTAAAGGAAAAAGACACCCACACCATCAGAACAATGAATGACCTGACACACACATGAAAACATGACTATTGATAAACTCTCCGTGTCTGTATCTGTCTGATTCCTTGTTTGTTGACTTCCTGTTTACTTTTAGTCAGACTGTAAACTGCAGGAAAAAAAATCCTGAAACTTTTTAGATTTTCTTGGGCAACATTTCTGCTGACAGAATCACGCTCTAATCACATGGATGCAAACAACATGAAGACAACTCCTGAACTGAGAGACTCACAATAAACTCTGATCAAACTCCTACCTGAGTGTGTTTTTATAAATGTTCTGTAAACGTTCTCTGAAGGTTGTTCCTACCTGCTCGCAGCTTCAGCACAAACAGATGAACTTCTCTTCAGTTGCTCTTCCAGTTGACAGCAGCTCGCTGTTTTTTTTTCATGCAGTCCGGGAAGTGGTGAGTCAGTTCCCATCAGCTGATCCTCCTGCTGTCAACTACACCACCACAAAGAGCGCTGAGGCTTCACAATAAAAGCCTGGAACAGTAAAAATAAACGTCAGTGAAAGGACCAATACAACAAAGTGAAACTACTCTTGCAAATATTTAAACTTCTTCTCTTTCAGTAAAAGTACCATTTCAGAAAAGTACAAATACTCCATGAGACGTATTACAACTTCTGCGTCATATAAAATACAACTGAGTCTAAATTCTTGTGAGGATCATATATTTTTTGTTCATGTTTTGATAATCTCTTATCATTATTTTACCTTTTTTTTATTATCTTGATCTTTTATTATTATTATCTTAACACATAATAAACATAACTTATAAACAATTGCAGCATGAGAAAACGTAGGTAGAAACAGGATTTGGTGGTGTGTGTATATCTTTCTCTGTCACAAGCGGGTGCTGAGTGGCAAATTTCTGCACCCATGATGTGGAAGTACACTGGATCAGGGAGAGGCAGTCAGTCAGATTTCGTGCCCTGACATTAACTTTGTTGGTGCTGGGGTGAGAAGTTTGATCCAGAGCTCTGTATGCTTATTCAACTATCTGATAAATAAATACATTGAGTGAGACCTAAATATCTTCTCCTATTGCTTCATTAAATGAATGCGCAGGAGTTCTCACTCATAGTTTAATTTCTGGTAGATTGAGATTCAGCTCCAACATTCTCCAGTGCAAGTATGAAAAATTTTACTTCAGTAAAAGTACCAGTACAAAAAATTAAAAACACTCCATAGAAAACGTCTACTTCAGTTAAAGTACCAATACAGCCGCGACAAAATACTCCAATGTGAATATCAAAACTCCTACTTTAGTAAAGTAGCAGTACATAGAAAGAAAGAAAGAAAAATATTGTACAATGTGCGTATTGTTTCTATTGGTTTATAATGTTTTAAAGCTGGCTTACTTTTCTTTTACTTGTATTTTTTATTGTAATTGATTCATTTAATTTAAATATTATTTCACTGTTATTTTTTAACATTTATTTGCTTTCGCTTTAAATTTTCTTTTATATCTGTTTTTTTTTTTCCGGATTTTTTTTTCGCTTTAGGAGATTTTATGCTTTTATTGTGACGGTCCCGGCGCCCTTTCTGTCGGTGGTGTTATGTTTAAATGTGTCTGACTCGACAGATGTGCAGCTGCAGGGCGGAGCTGCTCATCCTGCAGCTGCGCAGGAGTCCTGAGTCCTGTCACTGATTAGCCTGACAGTTAGTGAGTCACTTTCACTGTCAGTTTGTGTCTAAACAACAACATAATCTGAGAAACTCAAAGTGCGCTGAAGTGATGGGAGAGACAACACACACAGGACACACAAAAAAACATGACAAATAAATGTGAAAACATGTCAAGCAATTGTGAAAACATGAACAAGCTTGAAAACATGAAGATTTCGGACAGTGACTAAATCTGATGATGTAGCTGATTTTTATCTTTTAATGTGAAGATTTTCAGCTTCAAAGGCCAAAGGTCACAGTTGGTCAGTATGGACAGAAAACAACACAAATACTCTGTTACAAGTAAAAGTGCCAACATTGCAGAGTAAAACTAATCGGTGCAAAGTAAAAGTTCCAGCTCCACAAAGTAAAAATCCTCTGTTACAAGTTAAAAATGTAAAAGTATTCTATTACAAGTATAAGTATCAACACCAAACGGTGAGAATACTCCATTACAAGTTACATTACCAACACCACAGAGTAAAAATAATCTGTTACAAGTACCACACACACACTATCAGTTGTGCACTGTCAACTACACAAAGACACAGCAGAGTAAAAAATACTCTGTGACAAGTAAAACCAACATCAGAGTAATAACACCGTAACAGTCATGATGTAACAAGTAAAATGACCAACACCACAGAGTAAAAATATTTAGTGTCAAGTAATATTACTCACAGCAAAAACACTCTGTTATGAGTACCAACACTACAAACGTATACCAGAGTAACAGTAACTTTAATCAGAGAATCATACAAAATGACAAACAAACAAAACCTAACACAAAGAGACATATGACCACAAAGAGACACAAAACTAATACAAAAAGACACTAAAAGACCACAATGAGACACTGTTTTAACACAAAGAGACAGACATTCTTTACTCCCAGTCCAACATAAAGTCTTAAAACTAGTTAACACGCACACAAAATGAACTCAAATAGACACAAACGACCACAAAAAATACACAAAATTAACTCAAATAGACCCAAACGACCTCATAAAATGCACAAAATGAACCCAAATAGACACAAAATGACCCAAAATGATCACATACAGACAAAATAAACCCAGAGGGCCACGAAATGGCCACAAAAAGAACACACCAACAAAAGATTTCTTTGTGGACTAAACTAATACACAGTATAAGCATTAGCATTTGTATAAACTAATACAAATACACAAAACAGCCACAAAGGGAAACGAAACAACCAACAGGCAAAAAAAAACAACAATCACAAAGACACAAAACAGCCACGAAGAAACACAAAATCATGTCTCGGGGAAACAATAGGACACAAAATCACAAAGAGACACAACAACACAACAAACAGATGCAAAATGACCACAAACAGACACAAATGGCCACAAAACGACACACCAAAAAAAGATTTCTTCGAGAGTCCTGACTGTTGAAGCGTTTAACATCCATCCATCCATCCAT